TATATATACTGTATAAGGTCAGGGCAGGGCAGAATTGCGACACTGTGAGTTTAGAAGCTATTTCAAACATGTGTATTCGTATAATATATAGTAAGTTACTTTAGTTCCACGATTCTTAATAACAATTCTGTTATCAGGGAGTAAGGGTTCCAGTAAGGGTAAATACGATGCTTAATCGTTCATTTCATTTAATTTTCGAAATTTAACTGATAGTCATGCCTTCAAGTGTATTATCCAATTTCCAATTAGTGTTTTCCAATTTTAATGTTTTTTAATAGCTCTGTAATTTTTTAACGTAAATGTACAATAATTTGTAAATCTCTTGTAATTCAGCCTTTTGGCTGCTACTGGAAGATCAATAAAGAATGAAATGAAAATGAAATGAATTTTCCCACAGCATGGTTGTTCTCTAGTATCTTACCTTTTAAATTATATATAAATATGGATCCTGCCTGACCCAAGCATCATGTTTTTAAAAGCACAATATACTGTTCTTTTCGGCAAACTGGATATCACAAATAGGTTTGTCATGATTTTGGTGAACTTAATTCGGCAAACTGGGTTTCGACAAACTGGTCGGATACCATGCCAAGGAGGCCTACATGGTAGCGATGTCTTGTAGAGGCCAGTCACTGCTAGGCACAGGCATTGGAATTCCCGGCCTAGCAGTATTAGGCCATTAGGGATAGTGGTAAATAAACTGCCTAAAGGCATGTCTTCGGTAAACCAGTCAAAGACAACTATGCAGACAGGCCTAGCTTATATGGGACGCCATTACTGCATTCTGTTTTTCGTTCAGCGCATTATATATTTAGCAGTATGTATCTCTTTTGTAATTACCTACACTCTTTCGTCATTATACTACACAATCAATTTTAGTTTACTGTCACAATATTTAAGGTTGTCCCCCACTTTTTGGCGAAAAATATATAATGTCTGGAGATTTTTGTATGATCGGAAATGCAGAAAAAGGAGGGAAGAAGGAGGAGAAGGATGGGAAAGAGAATGTTTATCCAGTACCCGAGCGAGTTACATTTTCTTGCAATTCATATTGGGGGATCTGGGGAGGGGGGTCATTGGTCCTTACCCCTCCCTTGGGAACAAAAAAAGGGCAAAAAGAAAAGAATTCTAGACCTACCTTTTCAGGACCCGTGAGCTGATTTCTTGCAACGTATGCAACTACTCATTTGTTTATGTATGTATACACACATAAAATAATAAATGAGAAAAATGTACCTGACCTACTTCAAGAGGGGAAAACCTTGAATTTTGAAGAGCTTTAAAAAAGACAATTTAGAAGTCAGGAAAGCTCATCTCCCGCCATCTAGAAATTGAAATTTTTCCGGGGGAACCCGGACCCCCTTTATCTTTGGAGTTCATTGATTAATTGAATAATTTTCAAGGGGTGGGGGAGGAATTTAAAAGTCATTAAAAGACACCACAGAAGTCGAGAAAGCTCATTTCCCGCCACCTAGGAATCAAAATTTTCCCGGGGAAGAACCACAGGACCTCCCCGCTCCCCTTTCGTTTTGGGATTTATCGATTCATGGAAAAACTACGTATGCAACTTATTCAATCTTTTTTTGTGTATGTATACACACGTAAGGCCTAATTACTGTAATAACAATGGGAAAAAATTATCTGACCGTTTTCAAGAGTGGAAGAACGTCAAAATTCAAGGTGTTCCCCTCTTGAAAATTTTATAATGAATCAATGAACCCAGATAAAGGGAGGTTCGAGTTCTTCCCGGGAAAATGTTGATTTATAAATAGTGGATGACTTAAATTTAAAAGACACCTCAGAAGTCGGGAAAGCTCATTTCCCGCCTTCTAGGAATCAAATTTTTCCTGGGAAAGAACACCCGGACCCTCCTTTCTTTTTGGGATTCATCTCATGGAAAAAATCGTATTCAACTACCCGATTTTTTTAAATGTATGTATACACACATAACAGGCCTATTTACCATAATGAGAAAGTTTACCTTACCGTTTTCATGAGGGGGAAAACCTTGAATTAGTCATTAGACACCTAGCTCAAAAGTCGGGAAAGGTCATTTCCCGCCATCTAGAAATCAAAGTTTTCACGGGAGAGGAATGTTGACCCCACCATCTAGATTTGATTGCAGATTTGCATGATTCATATTCCTATTCATCTTATAAGCAGTGGCGTAACAGGGGGGGGGGGGGCAGGGGCAGACTGTCCTCCTGATGATTTTTACCGGGCTGACCAAGCCGTTGTACCGTGCTGGGTAAGAAGAGAAAAGAAAGAGGGGAGAGGGAGGGAGAGAGAAAGAAGGGGAAAGAAAAAGGAAGGAAAAAGGAAAAGAAAAAGAGAAGAGAAAAATAAAGAATAAAATGGAAGATATCGTCGCTCACATCACGAACTAACACAATCAAAGTAGTTTGTGTTAGTTCGTGAAATCATATTAGCGCGTCAAAACGAGCGCGTATTGGTTGTCAAGCAATTTTGTATTCTTTAACACACAAAAAGTCCTTAACGACAACAGCGCGTATTTTGACGTGCTTTTTTGATTTCACGAACTAACACAATTGAATTTAATTGTGTTAGTTCGTGATGTGAGCGACGATATAATGAACAGATATCACAATACCCCGGCCTGCAACCCCTTCTCCACTTCAAAAAGTGTCCATATCGCATTTGATCTAAGCCGCCAAGTATTCTCCGCAGTGGCGTAACCACCGGGGGACAAGGGGAAAATATCCATCGGTGGAAAATCTTTCCCCATTGAATGCCCTTTTCACCCGGGAAAGTGCCTGAAAATCTCAAATTTTAAATCGCATATTTTGTTTACGGTGTCAGATGTGCTCGTTTAGAGTTAGAATTAAATCGGTAAGTATTCCATTTTCAAACATTTACTATGTCAAGTCTTAGAAGTGTTTCGGTCATGATAATTTTAGTGATGTTTAGATCAGTGTGATTGTGTCCTGTTTGTGAGATTTTTAGTGCAGCTATGGTTGTGCTTTCTTATTTAAGTAGGCCTAGGCAGAACGTCGCTAGTCTTTCAATTTGAGGCTGGGCCTAGGTCTAACCTAATATTAGGTATTCCATTAGCTTCTCTACCTAGGGTAGATCTATGCTTAGGTTAAGTTAGGGCCAGGTGTCTAAACGAACAGCGTTATTTTTCTATTTGATATTAATTAGAAATTGCCAGATTATTTTGATGTCTGTATGTGGCAACAGGCTCATCATAGAAGCCATATTGTAATGTTGTGACCATAAATATTTTTTCCATGTTTATACTTAGGAGGTAGGTGTATATCTTGATCTCCAAATATCTTACTAATAAATCAACATCTAATAAGATATCTAATTTACACAATCATGTACAGGCATATAGACGCCATATTGTAATTTTGTAGCGATAAATATTTTTTTCCATGATTATACTTAGGAGGTAGGTATATATTTTGATCTCCAAATATCTTACTAATAATCAACATCTAATAAAATATCGAATAAAATAATAGTAATCGATAATTATATTAAATATATATGTTAGTAAAACAGTATGTGAATTTTGTAACAAATATTGCGCTTCAATCTTATATGTTAATTTACACAATCATGTACTTTCGTTTGCTGATTGTTGGTTGCATGACCTTCTACACCAACCCAGAGAACAGAGGACCCCGCGGAATAGAAAACAAATAACAATAGAGGGTGCACGTCATCGGATGATATCGGCCGATGACGAAATGATTTGAGATTAGGTCATTTACCTGATAAAGATACTATTTCGAAACCGGTTTAAACACTGTATTATTTAAACAAGTTTAAATATTAAAAAGCATATTGTTGATAAAGCATTTATTTAAATACTGAAAAGCATATTGTGGATAAAGCATTTATTTAAAAAATGAAAAGCATATTGTTGATAAAGCATTATTTGATTTAAAGATTTTAATACTGAGAAGCACGATATGCATAAACCATTTTTTTTACAGATTTAATTTCTGTGAAGCATGTTCTTCATTTAGCCACTTTTTTAACCGTTTTACATATTGAGAAAATATTTAAAAATGTTTTAAATATTTTTTTGTTAAAACAGATTTAAATACTGTGAAGGCTATTGTGGATAATACTTTATTTTACATATTTAAATACCATGAAGCCTATTGTGGTTAACAATAAAACAAGATCGACTACTAACATGTCTACTAGTATATTATTATGTTGTTTTGTAGCATTGTAAACAACATTATTGAAACCCATTTAAACCTTTAATACTAAAACTAAAAATTAGTACTGTAGACCCTTTTATGTACTAAAGTACTTATTAGTATTTACATGAACTGCATGCTCGCAGCAGTTTACGTTCTATTAGAAACTGCTAGTAATATTACTAGAAATCGTACGTGTTAATTTAAACATTTGTAAATCGATAAAATTATTGTAGGTTACCCAAAGTACCGGTAATACATTTCCATAGCTTCCTGGGGGCGTTGGCTCCAGCACTAACGGCTTACACGTCTCCTCGAAAGACGGTGCGCTATCATAACTTGTATTTCAGCTCTTCATAGAGAGCAGAGGATGAATTTGAACCAGTAACCAAAGATCTGAAAGGATAGCCATGGTTCAGTGCACACAGTGGCTACCATCAGTTAATCCGACTGAGTTAGTTGCTCTCACAAACAGGTTATTTTATTATTTTCCTTTAAAGATTTTGATGAGTGCAAGCAGGTGAATCCAAATGTGTGCAGCCAGGGATGTAATAACCATGACGGTGGATACAGTTGCTATTGCCAAGACGGATACGATCTAATAAACCAAACTTACTGCCAAGCTATTGGACCAGATCCACTCATCCTTCTTGCAGACCGTTACTTAGTGCGTGAATATGACCCACTTTTGATAAAACACCGAACGATCTCACCAAATCTGAACTATGCCGTGGCTTTAGACTACGATATCAAGGAGATGCAGGTCTACTGGTCTGACAGGAATGAGGATACGATCTACCGTACTAACATAAATGGATCGGGTTTGCCCGAAGTTGTAATCAGTGGATATGAAACATACGGAATGTGTATAGACTGGATTTTTCGTAACATTTACTGGGCTGATAGGAGTACCAAAACCATTCATGTTGCAAGCCTTGAAGATCTAAGCAAACGTTCCATTCTTATTCCAGATATTACGCATACACCAGAAGGTCTTACTCTTGACCCAAAAATTGGGTATGTTTTATAAAAACTTATATTTATATTTAAATTATAACAACTAATTATTGTGTTTTTTTCAAAATAAATGTAAAAGATTCATATTTTTTTTATAGCAATTGATTTTTTTTTTTATAGCTACATGTTTTGGTCTGTGTATAGTGGGAAAATTGAACGCGCAGGAATGAATGGACAGCAAAGACTAGTCCTCGTTGACACCGACATTAGCTCTCCAGTTGGTCTGACTACTGACCTGACTACTAATCTTCTTTTCTGGGTGGAACAAGGGAGTTACAGGTTAAATAGCATTGACTACAACGGCCATGGTAGACGCACAATACTTAGTTCATATTCAATTCTACCTCGTCCATTCGGTATTACCGTATTCGAAGATTATGTTTACTTGACAGACTTGCAAAGGAAAGCTATAATTAAAGCCAACAAATTTAATGGAAAACATACTATGTTGGTTGGAAACCTTAATCATCCCTTGGGCATCCAAATATATCACCCTCAAAAACAGATCAAGGGTAAGAATGTATTCTTTAAAAAGTAAATGTTTAGAAAATCATTCATATGTTTAATTTTGCTAAGAGTTCCGTTTTATCGTTATTTGCCTCTTCTTCCTTTCAGGAATTATTAACCATTGTGAAGGACATAACGGTGGATGCTCTGATCTGTGTGTAGCTGCCCCTAAATTGAATGATAATTCCGTGAAGTATTCGTGTCTTTGTCCATCAAACTCCTTTCTACTGCAAGATGGACGTACATGTGAGGGATCGGAAGTGAATCCTCTGACACCACCATCTTCAACAGTCAGTCCACCAGAAGAAAAGAGGACCACACAAATGAGGACCGATAATATTAACGATGGTAAACCACAAGCCCCTTTTTTTTTTTTTTTCCTCTGTTTTTTCCCCATTTGATGATATTCTAATTATGGAAAAGGTGTCTAAAACGGGCCCCTTAAGGGAAAACGTAATTTGATAGCAACCTTATAATGCCAGAAATGTCATTGATTCAAATATTGTTAAATTAACTACTAATAAACAAATACTCAATGTACGAAATATATTTATCTCTAATATTAAATGAACAAAAACTGATTAAACAACACTATTTAATTTTGCACTTTAAGGATAGATAAAGGTAGTGTCAAATGGACCACCGCCTAAAGTTGGCCTAGGCCTACGGGATCATTCAAGCCTAAAACGAGACCCTTTTAGAACGGGCCCATTTTAGGCTATTGTTTCCAGGCCTGATAAAATTGCATTTGTGTAAAACAAACAACATTCCTGTTGTAACTTTCCTTCTAATAACTATTTTATTATAACAAGCTATTATGATACAAAATTACACCAAGGATAAAATTGTTGATACTTTTTCGTAGAAATTGTTTAAGTGGCTCTAACTGTCAATGAATCAACTGTATGACATCATTTGACTAATTTTGTTTCTGTCTTAACAAATTTGTGGTGGAAGCAGAACAGGTGGGGACCAGTTTTAGGTTGGGCCCGTTATACCTACAAACTTAACGTTTATTTTACTATTATTATAAACATTATTATTATTATTGTCGTCATCGTCATCAACCTCAACATCACTATAATCTTCATTATATTTAACAAATTCATCATCAAACATCACCAATATTAACAACCATCATTATTATTATTAATAATTAATTATTATTAATAATAAATATTAATTATTATTAATAATTATTAATGACTAAAATAAAGTAACATAACAAATGGATATTGTGAATAGGTTGAAAAGTGACAAGAAGTAATATTATTACCTTACAATATGTTTTTATCCGGTAAATATCAAAAAATGGAATCAGATAATAAGCCGTACATATTCAATGGCACAATATCACTAGGAATTATATTATTATTCTGGGTAGAAAGAGACAAACAATTTTGCTCAAACATTTATTTCATTGATTATATTTCCATGTGTGAAGTAAAAATAAGTATAACAGCCATTTAATAGTATGTTTTGAGTTTAATTTAATACATTTTACTATGCGCCTTTTATTGTGTAGTAAATTTGTTCAGATTATATATAAATTATAATATATTAAATTGTTGTGTGTATAAATTGACATTCGGCAAACTGGGTTTCACAACTTTCGAGTCTGCAATTTGGCATTCGGAAAATTTGGTTCCGGTAATGTGGAGTCGTCAATCTGATCAGATCCTCGAGGTTAAATTCTGTAGTCGATAAACTAAAAGCCTTAATTTCGAAAGGTATTGTGTTTGATCAAATCAACTACCAATATATGTCAGTTGTGCGATTTGTTGACTTTATATTATTGTTTACCATAGTGAAACAAAATAAAAATAATATATTAGTATAATTGTAAAAAATGTGATCAATGAATTTGGTCAAAACATAATATTTTCATAACAATGTAATAACACAGTGACCAATAGTTACCGATAAAGCGATAATGCAAGGAACAACTGGGTAACATAGTTAGAATCAAATTTCTATACATTTTCTTTTAACTTATTTCATTAGAGTAAATAACATATATACCTCTTAGCTAATTTATACCAAAACCAGTAGGTCTAGTCGTCAAAATGCCAGACAAAGATATCTTGGATGGCTCGCATAAATGTCTCAATTAAACAAGCATCTGAATTATTATATAAAACTAAATAATTTTTTATGGACAGTAGCAGCGGATACATATACAGGTCAAACATGACTTTTTTTGAAAAAAATTTAAATTTTAGAAAATAGATGCATATTCTGAATAATATTTTTAAAAAATCACCAGTGGAAGCCTACTATATTATTCGTTTTGACTATTCTACGGAGGCATCAAATAAATTCACAAAAGAATGGTTCTGGTAGTAAATTAATTTTAATTGAGTAAGGTGAAATCAACTGCACAACAAACGCACGTAAAATTGTAACGTGAACAAGAAATTATTAATTCAGAAAATCACAATGGGGTGCTCTGAATAAGGCCAAAGGCGGTCGCATGCAAGGACGGTACGTCAGCAGCTCATTCAAATTGGACATTTCAAGCCTAGGTTATTGGAAAGTGAAAGTACAGTACTCTTAGAGTCAGGATAAACATGATTTTGAGTAATTGCCTTTCAAAGTAAGTGCATACATTGTTTAATAGTCTGAATGAACTATGAACAATAACGTTAAATAAACAATTTGTTAACCACCTCCAGAACTAATACTTTGGGACATGATTAATAAGAGATAAAACTGTTGATCTATTTTTATTTCGTATTACACAATACCTTGAGAAAAAAAAATACTTGCCCTAATGGGAAATTTCAGGGGTGTATGCCACTCGGCCTCCTAGCTCAGTTGGTTGAGTATTTGAACGGTAATCGGAAGGTCCAGGGTTCCAGTCCCGATGGAAAAAAAAAACGTTTTTCTCAAATAATGTAAAAAAGATATCAACTCACTGTGATTAGAGTTTGCAAAGATATGAGAATATAACCTTACATTTTCACCTCTATTTGCATATTTAAAGACGTTTAAAAAAAACCAGAGGATCCACTAATTAATCTTAAATAAAACAAAAAGACAGTAAAAAGACAGAGACATTTTGAGATTCAACGTTTCGATCTATTTGATCATTTTCAAGAAATTTTACTGATGAGAAAATCTCACCCATCCATATAATATATGGACAATCCATATAATATTTATCTTTTTTACATTATTATTATATAACATTTTTATGTTTCCAATATTTACGAAAGAAAATAAAAACCGACCAATAAGATTAAAATCAAAGTTATAACTAGCCAATTAAAAGCGAGGTAATTTTAAAATGAGGTGGGTCTTACATTAAGTATATCACTTGTTATTGTGAATAAACAATGAATAATCGACAATTATTAACAATTGTATAGTAGCCTGGGAATGCTGGCTGAATAAATGTCTTTACTCATATTGCGATAGCATACACATTTTTAACTTGTGCATACAAATTACTGAATTTAAAAAATGTGTACCCTGATTTTTAAACCTAAAAAATATAATAGAAATAATAAAACACTTCCAGTGACCGGAAGTGTTTCTATCATTTTTCGCTGTAAACCGATGGGTAGACATTTTTTTAAATACACTAAATTCTATGTTCAAGTTGATAACTTTTATGTTACTTCAAAATGGGCAAGTTAATTTCAAAAAAATATTTTTATGATTTTTTGGTTATTTAGCATGGGACAATACATCTTTAAGTTATTTTTCAAACAATTAGTGCATATGACTGAATTGTAAATTCTGTAATTACATTCTTGATTTTCCAAAGAAATACAAAATTCTTTGTATGCAATTTGTTCACAATTGGCTATTTTAAAGCTAAACTGCCACATCATAATGTACTTTTGTGTTGGCAGCCATTTAGAATGATCAAATTTGACTTCAATAAAGCAAATTGCTATAATTAGCAACTTAGCATAAAATGTTTTAAAGCCTTTTAAACAAACAAATTCCTTTAATTCGACCCCTTCCAAAGCCCTATACAATGTCGAGGCTTTATTAAACGTATTTCATATGGACGTTCATATTTTATATTCAAATTAGACCCTTAGATAAAATATTTTCGCTTGAAATGTACCAGATTTGTTATATCAGCGATATACCCTAAATCAACTGGATGTAGCCTCTACCCCTTGCGTTATCATTGGGATTTTCAGCTTGACTAAAATACAAAAATTAATAGTAGTAGATTCTCATTTCAACAATAATTTTTATTTAGGATGTTTTTATATATCTTCGGAGACATCGACCTCTTAGCCAAGAGCAAAAGGTAAATTTAATCGATTAAAGATCCTATAAAAAAAAAAAAAAAAAAAAAAAAAAAACAGTTATGTTAAACTTAAAACTAGTTCAGACTAGGTGGATAAACCCGGCTCAACTTTATCCACCTGCCAGTCTGAACTAGGTGGCTTATCACAAGCCGGTAATAGTAACTCGCACCGGCGTGTCACCGTGGTCAGCTTTTAAAAACAGGGCTTTTATCGCTGTGTAGGGTCTCGTGTTGACCTTAGGTAAAAATGACCAATCAGCATTTAATTACGTGCCCTGTGAGCGAGCGTATGTTTCACGCGCAATGTTTCGAAACTCGTTTCCTGGTAACGGTTCAATAATATGCAAATTCTCGCGCCTGCCTAATCAAGCTAGTCTGAACGCCCGCCAAAGTTAAGACGGGCTTTACCTTGAGTCAAGCTTAACATAAGCCTGGCTTATCCTAACTCTGAACGTAGCCTAAATCATATTAATCCCAGCTTCTACCCAAACATTCTCTCAGCAGCATCTGGGAGTTTTAACTTGACTAAAATACCAAACTTAACTGTGTTCTATGCTTTGCCCGTAGACTGGCATGTAAACAATAATGCTTATCTTTTTTCTTTTTCATATTTTCAGAGACATCTACCTTGTGGTCAACAACAAAAGGTAAATTTATTTAAGGCAACTCAACAAAAGGACGCACATCTCGGGACATCAAAGGATATAACTTTGTCATCGAAACTCTACGCGTCGCGCGCCCCTACACGCTTGACTAAGGCCTAGTTCAGACTAAGTGGATAAACCCGGCTCAACTTACCGGGTTTATCCATCTGCCAGTCTGAACTAGGTAGGTTATCTCAAGCTAGGTTGTGTTTCTATAGTAGCTAGGACTGCCACCATGTTTAACATTTTTAAGCCGGGCTTTAATCGCTGCGAGGGGTCTTGCGTTGATCTAAGGTAAAAAAAATGACCAATCAGCATTCAATTACGTGTTCTTCGAGCGAGCGTACGTTTCTCGCAAACGTGGTTACGGTTCATTAATATGCAAATATGCCGCCCGTCAAAGTTAAGCCGAGATTAACCTTGATCTAGGCTTAACGTAAGCCTGGCTTATTTTCAAGTCTGAAAGTAGCCTAAGATTTATATGCCCTAATCGTCACAAAAAAGATAGCGACCAAACCATAAATAAATAAATGTTCTGTAGCTACTCAAATTTTCGTTTTGTGCACCTTGGTCCAACATTGTCAAAATGATAGTTTAATGTTATATAACATGAATTTTTATTTAAAAAAAAAACCCCATAAATTTACATTTGCTATAAATGTTCATGTTGTTGGACAATTTTCACTAATCAAAATGTAAGTCGTGGTAAAAAAAAATCAGATGTCACAGACATTGCGAAGTACCCAAAAGTTAATAAAATAGTAACTAACACCATAAAACGTATGTGCTAGGATCGAGGGGCGGAGCTCAGGCATTTTTGATAATGTTAGGTCTTAGTTAATCTTAACTGGGGGGGGGGGGGGGGTCATTTTTTATACCCTACATGCGTACGGGCCTGAACTGGGAATGGAATGTGATCAGTTGGACCACCAACCACAGATCGACTCCAGTCCAGTGGCGTCGAGAGCCAGTAAGGGCAAAAGGTAAACAACTCACAAGCCCCCCCCCCACCCACCTTCACTTGGGCCTCATGTGGGTTTGATGATGAAGTGGGGGAGGAACTCGATGATTAAATGAGGTGAGCTAGCTCACTAAATAAGGTGATTATGAGGTGATTTTTTATCTACTTGACCGTTAATTTTTTGCATCGAACATTTTCTATAGTTTGTGACTGGGGTACTGATTTTTAAGGGGACGTTCTCCATCCCCTAGATACGCCACTGTTCAATTCTAACATAATACAAAAATCTATTCACTCTTCCATAATGAATATTGTATGGTTATCTCTCTTGTCTTTTATTTTGTTTAGCGATATCTCCAACACCTTCAGAAAATGATCTGAATTCAAAAATTGGTAAGTAAATGTGTTGCCATAAGTAGCTTATGTCTTCTTACATCCCATTAATGCTTGGCATGTCTATCTCAGTCCTACATACAACTGGGCCTACTTATAGTTCAGGCAATCTTTAATGCTGTTTTTGCAGATGTTGTTTGCAGTGATTCGTACATGACTGTATACTTGGATTCTTCAATTAATAACGTCGATACAGTGCGTTTTCTGGACTCAACATGCACCACTGCCGGATATGTTTATCGTAATGGTAGTCGATGGGTTTACATGTACACTCGTTACGACCAATGTCAAACATCAATGACGGTAAAATCGATTAGAGACTTAGTTTATATTAATGATTGTTGTACACATCTTATACACATTTACAGTAATGTTGCTTTAAAAGAAGCGGTTGGCGCAATGGTTGTGGCTCGGACCCTTAACCAACCTTAATATATAACAGACTGCTGTGCAGAAGGAGTGACTAACCACCCCCAGCCTTGCACAGTCTGAACAAACGCAAAGGAAAGAGAAACGGGCACTCTGGCCTACGAGCCCAGAGCTTCAGGTTTCGACCTTTACCTTTACCTACCTTACACTCATACACTCCAGAGGCAATTACCTGTGGAATCTATAGTTTGGCCATATACGCCTCCAATTGTTGTTGTTATGTAGACGGACGATTTTGCGGTGTATGATAATTAAAGATAGGCCTAGTTTATAACTTATATTGCATGCTGTGTTATTTGTACATTGTTGATCAATGTGGGGGGATACAACATTGGCGACGAGGATCCACGGATTGCTAGGATATTAGAGCTCCGCCTCAAATTAGTGTATTACTGTAGATTATACAGGTTTAGTATTACCTATTATTCTCAGAGGCGGATCCAGGATTTAAACGAGGGGGTTCAAAGTGTTTCCAAAAAACCGCAAATTGAAAGGGGGGTCCAGGGGACCCCGGGAAATTTTTGATTCCAAGATGGCCGGAAAAGAGCTTTCCGACTTCTAAGGAGTCTTTCAATGCCCTTTAAGTTCTTCAAAAATCAAGGTTTTCCCCCTTTGGAAAAAAGGTCAGGTAATTTTATCTCATTCTTTAGGCCTATCATAGAGTAAAAAAAATCAAAGACAGGCAATATATTATTATATTGCAACAAACTTGAGTAGTTAGATATGTAGTCTTTCTTCCATGGATCGATAAACCGATACGCTGAAGAACTCACTTTCGTACATACATAATTGCAGAACCAAAAACTTAATTGAAAACTAGTTGGGCTAAGCCTAGTTTATCTGATCTTCCAACCTATGCCTAGATAGGTTAGCATGCTCTTTGTAAGCCAGGACCATTGTATTTTGTTACATTTCTTCACAGATGGGGAGGTGGAGGGTCCGTCCGAACCCCTTGACCCCCCTGAATCCGCCACTGATTCTAAGATGGCTACAGCAGCAACGCCAACGGTTGTCAAAACTTGGTCACTCAAAGCGCAAGCATTCGTGCCGGATGTAAACTCCTTGAAAGCAGGCAAACAATGGACGGACGGGCTGGCTCGAAGGCATAGAGCTTGTGTTCCGTTTTCCAGAAATTGTTGACGGCTAAGAAGAAAAGCGTGCCCTCTTAATTTACGGGGGTAGAGAGCTGCGCTGATTATACAAGTCTCTCGACGATATTTGTGGACCAAGACCCATATGCAAAACTAAAAACTAAGCTAGACAAATGATTTAAACCTCAGGTAAACACGCACCATGCTATATATTTTTATAACAGAAGCCTGCACCTAACGAGGGTACCGTCCAACACGCTTCACGGCTGCGGTAGAAAGCACTTGATTACAAATACTAAGAACGAATTTTGGAACATATGAAAACCATTACACAAGAACGGTTGATCACAAAGGTAAGCGACAAGAAATGGGATCTACAAACCTTCCTTAAGGAGGAAGCGCAACAGAGGAGACAATAACCCAGGTGCGTGATATGCGAGACACATCGACCGCCGTAACAGAAGAAGACCATCATATTGCAATTAATCGCATTGGACTAACGCAGAATCGTCCACACGTCCCTACAAACAGCAGTAGGATGCCAAAAAAGGTAAATCAACCAACCAGGCCCCATGAATACCAGACCCAATACTGTAGGTACTGCAGGTTGGCTAACGGCACCGACCCTATAGAAATTGCCTAGTATAATATGGTCACCAGTGCAGAGAGTGTGGTGGCAGGAATCATTTTAAAAGGATATGTCTGAAAAAAAAAACCGAGAAAAGGAGCATATAGGTTGGACGAAGTCGACAAATGCTAAACGAACAAACACAGATGAGACTAACTCAAACTTGAAATCTCCAGCAAAATAAATAAATGATTTGATAAAAAATGTCTAGATCTATAAAAAAAAAACAAAAAAAAAAACATGTACGACGAAATTTTAAATAAATTCAGAAGAAGTCGCACACAAGTCACATTAAATGATTATCTCAAGAGAAAAAAGGCATACAAAACAATGCTCAGAACTAAAAAGAACAAATTTCTTGATATCTCACGAAATAAATTTATCAATTCTATTAAAAAAGAAAATGGGAAATTGTTTTGGATGATCAACTGATTGATCAACATTTGGTGATATTCCCCATGTATTGAACCAGAGGAATGATATTTTGCTGGGTGGAAGAACGCACAATGCTACTCTAGAGACTGTTTTGCGGTGTGCGGTAGAACACAACATTACTTTCAACCGTGAGAAATTTCAGTTTGGAGTGACAGAATTAGAGTTCTATGGATATAAATTCAGTAAAGATGGGCTTAAGCCAACAGAAGAGAAAGTGAGAGCTGTCAAAGAAGCTAAAGCACCTGATACCAAAGAAAGTGTCCGAAGTTTCTTTGGTATGATCTGTTATCTCTCCAAATTCATACCTAGATTTACAACATTAACAGCGCCGCTCCCAGAACTAACACGCAAAGATACCAAGTTCAAATGAAATGCACTACATGAACAGGCTTTCCAAGTTCTGAAAGAAAGCTTTAAAATGAAAGCACAATGGCACATTTCAATCCTAAATTACTAAATATTGTACGTACAGAAGCAAGCTTCAATGAGGGATTGTCAGCAGGCCTATTTCAACAGACAAAGAAAGGCATCCAACCTGTTCATTTTATCAGCAGAACTATGACGGACACAGAGAAGAGATATAGGCAAACAGAAAAAGATGCACTGGCAGTTAAATTGGCAAAGGATAGGTTGAGCATGTACTTACCAGGAGCTCCAAGATTTAAAATTATCACAGCTCCCAAACCACTCATTCCCATGTTTTCAAAAGCGACAACTAAACTCCCCCCCCCCCCCCTATGATTGAGAAATGGGTCTTGAGCATGCAGGATGTGGATTTAGAAATGATTTACGAACCCGGCAAAGACGAAACAGATCCACTTGACTTCTTATCCAAACATCCACTACCCGAAACAGACTCAGATGAAACAGAGCTCATCATTCGGCAGATAATTACAGATGAACACGTCATTGTTACTGACCAGAAAGAAACTGCAACTGACAGCCAACTACAGAAACTCACTAAGATAATCCAACTTGGCCAGTGGGAGATGCACAGAAAGGACCCAGATGTTGCACCATTCTATCACATTCGACATGAACTCAACACTGCTGAAGGGTTATTTTTCAGAGATAGACAAATTGTCATACCAACATCCTTGCAGAGAAAGGTGGTGAAAATTGCTCATAACAGGGGACACCTAGGCATGACATAGACCAAGAGGACGCTTATTGAACGGTATAGGTTTCCATCTTTAAACAGCGTAACGGAGAAAATAGTGGGCCAGTGTTGTGGAGTTACAACAAATGAACACAGACAAGAACCAGTCAAACCCGCTGAAATTCCGGAACAACCATGGAGCACAGTATCGGCAGATTTTGGTGGACCATATCCAGATGGTCATTACAACTTAATAGTTAATGATAAATGATCTAGATACCCAGAGGTAGAAAGACGGTACTCAACTGCATTTAAACCAACTAAGCACAAACTGAATAAGATTTTCAAACAATGGTAACCTCAGAGATTCGAGACGGACAATGGCCCACCATTCCATGAAAAAGACTTTGCGAATTTGTTGCAGTAGAAGAGGGCTTTTACCACCATTTGGAGACAACTGAACATGCAAGAGCCAACGGGGAAGCAGGTAGCTTTATGAAACAAGTAAATAAGACAGAACAGATAGCACATCTTCAGAACAAGAATACAAATGAAGCTATGCAAGACATGTTAATGGAATTCATATCTACTCCACACCAAGCGACTGAGGTGAGCCCATACCAGGCAATGAATAAGAGACAAGTAAGAACCAGACTTTATCACACTGAATAAGAGAAAGCATCAGATCATGTTGCGACACAGATTAACGATAATGACAGAAAATACAAGGAAAGAATTAGTAGAAACAGAAACAACAAGCATACCAAAGAACACTCATTCATTGTTGGAGATTATATACTGCTCAAACAACAGAAAAGAAACAAATGGTCTACAGCATATGAACCAGCGTTCTACATAATATTCAAAATAGACGGATCATCCATAGGTGCACGACGAGTCACATAATATGGTAGACAGACATACAGAGATTCTTCCAAATTCAAATTAGCCAAACAATTCATAAATGATGAAGATGGAGGAGGATTGAAGAGAAAAGCTTCTTAGAGAAACGGTGGTCCAACCTGACCCACCACAAACAGATTTATTACATCACCCTGATGCCGATCAGAACCAGGCAACACAAGCAGCACCACCAACCAACACCGAGGACACACATGACAGAATTCGCAGACCAAGGAGACTACACAGACCCCCAGAACATTTGAAGGACTTAACCTGTATTGATTATAGCGGTGACTAAATATTGTTGCGTCGATCAATATAATTATTATCGACATGGGCAGAATAATACACAGAAATATTTTATCCGGAGGATAGTCCACCCTTGGATGGCCAATTGTGTTCTTATGGAATGTTAATTGTGTTTATATAAGTGTTCTTAATTGAATAGAGAACTTTCACTTGTTACTTGTGTTACGGATTAATTTGGATTTCAGAGCAGTCAACTTGATATTTTTACAGGAGCTACTACACAAATCATTCAGAGACAATTGGAACTCAATAACATTTTGAAACATATATTAAACTCAAAATAACATACATAAATACATTATATTTTAGAATAGTAATAAATAATCTTCTTTAAAGAAATGGAGGAATGTAGTATCTATCGTAGTTTGGCCTAACGGCCTCCCATAGTTGTTGTTGTTGTTGTTATGTAGACGGACGGTTGTCGGTGTATGATAAGCTTTATTGAGGTTTGTGTCGCCAGATCGCTTGTTATACGAGTCGAATTTAAAATGGTTTACACAACAATAATCTAATGCATTGCAAGTGTAAACCAAGTTTCACGCGACAAAATGCTTATATTTTAGAACGCCAATTAAGGTGTGTGCGGCAACAATTAAGTTTACCCGAACACTAGCTATAATCTACTGACCAGGAAACCCAAAGCCCATCGCAAAAAACTTGGATACGGTAAAATAAATTTATTAGCAACGCCCTGGTAAAAGTAGACAAAATAAAACAAGGGAGATCACAATCTCTTCTGCATCAAAAATATTCTACACATAATTATCGTTTTAATTTTCAGTCGACACCGACTTCTACAACGTACCACAACCAAATCATCGTATCTGCACACAGGAACTCATTGATTCACCGAAAAGACGACATTCGCATTTCAGTTGAGTGCGAACTTGCAAATAAAGGGCGCTCTTCTGTTAGTTTCGATCCAATGGGCACTAGTGAAGATTTTACCAAGCGAGAACATGGTAATTTCACGTTTACGATGGCGCTCTATACCGACGCCAACTACTCTACCACTTACCCTGATTGGCAGTATCCTGTAGAAATGAACCTCGGTAGTAATGTTTTCGTTGGTGTAAGTGTTAAAACTTTCACGAATGACATGGCTCTTTATGTTGATTCATGCAAAGCGACATCTAACCCTGACCCGGATGTACATCCACAATACAAATTAATAGAAAACAGGTAATGTAAGTTATTAACATTTTCCAAATACCATTTAATTACCTTATGTGGTTAGCAATTAACACTATTAACAAAGTATAGTATAACGTTTTTGGCTCAAACACTTATACTGTGCTGAAGTCTGTCAATATATCTTTCCCACTAATAATGTATTTATATAAAACACCTTTATATCGATAGCACATACAATAAAGAGTGGTGTGTTCACAAGATAACAGCATATATAGGAAAACTTAAAACTAACAGATTGATTGAAATTGAGAACACAGATAAAAAGGAATTTTGTTTATACACATTACTTAAGTAATTTCAATGAAAAAATAGCTGAATATAATAAAATAAATAGGTATATATAAATCAATGATGCTTTGTAATGTCTTTCTTCTCAGTTGTGGAGTGGACTCGACCATTCAATTTGATGGACAATCAACATCAAATGAGACATCATATGTTTTTTTTTCATTTGAAACCTTTGGCTTTGATGACTTCTCTACGGTATGACCAGCTCCATAGACTGTTATTTTAATTTTAATTAATAAATGTTTAGTAAATTATGATATTGGTTTTTGACAACTATGATTATAACGGAAAAGTAAATAATAACGGTTTGTAAATAAAGTACCAGGTTTTACTCAACTACTGATCACTTGGCGAAGTTGATGATCTGTATAAAATTCGTATATACTGTATATAAGTATAGCCTATCAACGAAAAATGTTACTTATTAATAATAATAATAGTAATTGTTATTGTCGTGATGGAATAATAGACAATAAAATAATAATAATAATATTAAATTGCTATTTATAGAGCGCATATTGCAAGAACTGCCTATATGCGCTCTACAACAACTAAAAGGATTAAAAAACAAAGTATAATAAATATAGTAATAATAAGGTTTGATTGCAAGCAGTGCACGGTCTCTTAAAGTCAACCATCCGCCTCTGCTCTGGCTCTTGTTTAAAAGTACCCCTGATAATAATCACAGCTTTCAAAATAACTTTTTCTGCATAAGGTAATAATTTAGTCTGCATAGGTAAAAGTGTGATGTAAACGTACAGTCTACTTATTGCTATTTTAATAAATCTCATATTACAGGTTTTTATTCACTGCCAACTATCTATATGTAATGAAAGCGACTGGCGATGCCATCGAGACTGCTACCAACGTCGGCGTCGAGATATCGCTGATCCTGATAAATTGTCGGATACCATTCCGATTGTTCTTGGGCCTGTAATACTGAAGCGATCAGAAAAAGACTCAAACGTCATTCTTGACACCCAAGGTAATATGGTAATTACTAGTACACATTTCATTTATTTCCTCAAACTTCCTAATAAAATCAAAGCAATACAAATTAGAGCAGAACACATAAATCAAGTGATGGGAAAAACAAAAAGCAAACTAATGGACCTTTCCGTCAAATTTACTAAGGCGCGATCTACAAATTATCCCCAACGACAGAAACGGGTCAAACACGTTTACTATTGTTATATGACAAGCTCCCAAACGCGTCTGTGAAATGCCGTTTGGAAGCTTGTCGTTCGAGCCGTTTATCGTTACCTGTAGGTTTTATAGAAGAGAAAGCAATCGCCAGTAACCTTGCTACCCAGATTATATTGTGCGATGTTCGAATTGACCTATCAAAACAAGTACCTTTTGCCCAACTTTCTAATTCCCACGTGCCTGCACAGCCCGCACAATACAGCATGCAAACACTGACTTGGATCAGCCGCAGTTGAAGAAGTTCGTTGCGGCGATCACGTGCAATGCTACGGCATTGTGTTTTACTGTGTAGGCTATATGAATTTAATACATGTTTGTATTATTATATATATTATTATGTTTTAAAAATGGTTAAACCATGGCACATGTTTATATTGCTGAACAAGGCAGTCGGCTATTCCCTTCTTGCGGAGCAGCAGCGCGTGGTATATGCCTATTTCAAACAGTTTATTTCCGTTCATGACAAAGTAAGAATATCGATACGAAACAAAGTGAATTGATTTTATTTCTGAATGGGACCGGAAGTGGCAGGATTTGGCAGAAAAGGATACGATGTGTCCGACAAAAAATCACGAGGCAAATATTAAAACAGTGTAAATTTTTATTTCATTTCCTTCAACTTAACTTATATACTGAGATGGTGTCCGGCGGGAGATAGTTGTTACTATCATAGTTTAACTTTTATCTATCAGAATCTAGCCCCGAATCCTAGACTCATGTATTTAAAGCGGCCTGTAGCATGTGTATACAGCATTGATTTGTATTTTTTGTCGATGGATAAATAAATGTCCGAATATAAGAATTGAATACTGTTTTCTGTACACTACATGTTTGTTTGGGTCAGTTAAGAATTAGCACTTAATTAGGCCTATTAATGAAATACAACGGTACACAAACATTCACTTGTATGTTTTATTTATATTTTGACATTAACATAGGCCTTTAACACTCAATATTATTTTTATTTAACATAAGCCAATAAACAGCTTCCACACATAGAATAACAGTAGGCCTAACCAATAAAAATATATAAAATACAAAACAAGATTTATGCAAGATTTTAAAAAAACTGTACAGAAGTCTCCGCCCGGCAGGCAGACAAGGCCATACTTTAAACTGGCATCCAGGCACTCCATCGAACTCCTATTGTTAGCATCTCAACTGACCCACTTCTGTCAGAGCGGCGCTCAAAGCGAATTTCTGTAGACCAAGGAGGAAAGTTTTTTCCTCCATGTATAGATAACACCGGCCACACAGTCAGTGACA